GAAATGCTATAGAATCATCGGGTTGTTAGTTCGGTTGACAATAGTATATGAATAATTCTACTGACACCTTTTTTTTTTCTTCGTTACTTCTTTGCCGTTACAGCGATCATTCAAATTTATATATTTATTTATTTTTTGGCTTATTCTTCAATTTCTTCGTGTTGATTTACTACTGATTGTTTTTTTTTTTTTTCTGTTTGCATTATTTTACAATTGATAAAATCAATGTATTTCTGTTTCCTTGTCACATCATTTTATGCTGTTTTTCTTCCTTTTTTTTTTTGGGTATCACTGGCTAATTGTAAGTTCTATAAGTGTGGTAAAGGAGGTATAAAAACAAAGGCGAAAATAGGCGAAAGAAATTGGCAACATCTTTTACATATTCTTTAAGTCCATTTTTTTTTTTGTTTTGTTTTTTATCAAAACTGGATTTCAGATTTGACAAAAGAAAAAAATGAGCAAAAAAAAAAAAAAAAGAAAAACAACGAAAAAAAGGTCATAGAAAGTTTAGTTTGACGTAGAATCTTTGTTTGAGTACTTTTGCATGTTATTTTTTATTTATTTATTTTTTGGTACATCTTCAATTGTCCAATTTTTTTTCCGCAAAATCTATGTACCAATGATTCAAAAAACTACAACTTTTTTTATACCATTTCAATTCCAAAAATTTTTCCTACTAAGCTAATTTTTTTTTCTTGATTATTTTCCATCGTTTTCTCTCTCTCTCTCCATTCGTCTCCTCGCTTCTTCGCATTTAAATTACCTTCATTTTTCTGTTAAACAAAAAAAAAAACTGTTAGCAGTAAGGTAAAGAAAACAATCTAATGATTGGTCAGAAAATTAATTTATAAATACAGCAAATTAGATATTACATATTTTTATTGGTTTTTTTTTTGTATGTGTGTATTTGTATATATATATATATATATATATACGTTTTTACACTATTCGGCAAAGCAGTTATTGCACCAATTTCTGTTCCTTTTTCTTCGCTCTTGTTTTTTGTTTATTTATTCAATTATTTATTTGTTTATTTTGTTAAAACAAAAAATAAAAACTGTTTTTGATGATTTTATTTAAACGCTATTTTATTTCTGATGTTTGCTGCGTGTGCTTACAATAATTATTTCAACTTTACAAGTTATACTTCTGAATTTAAAGCACTGCTTGTATTCTGGCATCGAAAAAACCTGTTAAACAATCGCAATTTAACTGTTTTGCTTGAAATTTGCAAGCA